AACTACCCGCAAGTTTTACTTCATGGAAAATCTGCAAAATTCTCCAACTGTGTACACAAACAAGACTGAAGACACCTGCAGCACATTTATCATAAAATAAGCCATTTTTAGACTCTGCTAAATCCGAAAATAAAGTATCATTTTGAAAAAAAAACTTAAAAGACAGTGGATTGGTCTCACATGAAGATAAAACTAGTTTTCATGATCTTTATATTACCTATGTAAGATGGCCAAGATATGATCTTAAGACACAAACTTTAAGCAAAGTTAATAAGTGGAAATGTAGTCCCCAGTGACCTACACTGCAAGATTCATTCATACACTAGTTTACATCATCCTATTTTGCATAATGACTGAGATAATAAGTGGATAAAGTCCATGACAACAAGGTCACATAAACTTCAATCTTTCTTGAAAAGTGGTGGTCTGAAGATTTTGACCACTAAAATTTTGAAAGGACAGACACAATTTTGGTATTTTGCAATAGAAATAATAGCAAGGACCAGCAGATTTTCTTCAAGGACCATCAGGGAAAAGGAGATTTCGCAAACTCTGGCATATAGCTATCTTAGATACGCCTACACACAAAATGTGATGGTTTTAAGCCAAGCTGTTCTCCATATATCAGCTGTGTATGACTGTGAACCACACAAAAGCATGCACATGGACACAAAGTGTAAAATATTTTATTGGAATTAAATTGATTATGAAAAAGAAGTCATAGTAAGTGATGTATTGGACTGATTTATTGATTGGTGTTTTAAGGCCTCTTTCAGCATTATTGTGCTATTTCGTGGCGGTCAGTTTTTATTGGTGGAGAAAGCCGGAGTCCCCATAGAGAACCACAAATCTTTGATAGCAAAACTGACAATCCTAGTCGAACGCACAACCTCAGTATTGACAGGCTAGTGATACAGTATTTCAACTACTTAGACCACATGGCCACCAAGGCCACTGTATTGGACTGAAATAATCAACAAAAATAATATAAGATGTGAACAATCCAATATTACTAAGAAAATCACCTCATCAAGAATAGTGAAAATTAAGTTGAGGCAATATGGACAATAGTTTGATGGGTTCTTTAAAGCAAACCATCTACATATTAATATGGAGTGTGTAGCTTTTCTTATTTCTAAAATATAAAGCTTTGAAACACTATTGTATGCTGACGGAATGGCATACCTAAGTCTTGTCTTAAGTAAGACATTACCTGAAAATAGGGTTTGCTCTACACAATCTCACCATGAATTTAATGATTTTTAGATTCAGAGCCTGATAACAAAATTTTGTCATTAAACTCTATCTATGAATATAAGTTTTGCGAAAAAATAACTACATACAAAACATGCTGCAATAAATTCATCTTAAAAGATATATTAACATCACTTAACTTAAATACACTAAATATATACAAAAGTTTATAATGCGTAACTGTTAACCCTGATTAAATTTAATATTTGAAGGTTCCTTCATAAAATCTATAAGGCATAATAGTTTTCCAAGTCTGAAAAGACAAAGCAAATAGATTGTAGTCACTGAAGGACAGATGGATGTAAAACATTTTGATCACAGGCAGTAGGTTAAGAACAGAACAGACTTCACTTGAACCTCATAAAAAGTTGCTAAAATCCAACTGGCCTCTCATCAGTTATTAATCAATTGGAAGAAGGAATCCTGTTCCAGTATAAGACACACACTTTTTTGGCAATTCTTTTTTTCTCATATTTAACTAGCACTATTAAAAGTAGTTTTTATAAGGTTCTGTAAAGTATATGTACAATTTTTATCAAAACAAATTAAATTTGAACAAAAGGAGAAAAGAACTCAAAATAGGGTGAAGCCTTTTACTTCAATCTGTTCTCAAATGATCTTTTGCTATTAATGCCCATAAAAAAATTTCATTTTTAAAGAATTTATACTTGAGAAACATCAAGGATGACATAATTGCTGTGTCAATTACCAACCGTGCAAGACCTTTATGGGTATTCAAGGTCGTTAAACAGCCCTATAGTAGTGTGTTAATTGATAATAAAATGCTCCGCAGGGCGCAGCTTGATACGACCGCAGAGGTCGAACCGTGAACAGTTGGGGCAAGTATGGACACAACATTCAAGCTTGATACAGCTTTGCATTTGAATAGTGATTAAATATTTGACACAGCATAGGTTTCTGACACAGAATGAATGTGGTCTAAGAACTTAAAAATTTTAAATTGGACATTCACCTATTATGGTCCAATATCCAAAAATACATGGTTAGATTCAGCATATCAAAGATCCCCAAGAATTCAATTTTTGATGAAATCAAACAAAGTTTAATTTTGGACCCTTTTGACCTCAATGTGGACAAAGTTGATAATGGGGCCCAAAAATCAAAAATCTAAATACATGGTTAGATTCAGCATATCAAAGAACCCCATATATTCAATTTTTGTTGAAATCAAACAAAGCAATTTATATGAGGTATCTTCTTTTGCACAATACTGTGCAATTAAATATATCTTGCTATTGCGCAATAATGTACAATTGACAATTTCTTGCTATTGCCAAATATTGTGCTATTGGATATTTCTTGCTATTGCGCAATACTGTGCAATTGAAGATTTCTTGCTATTGCGCAATACTGTGCAATTGAAGATTTCTTGCTATTGTGCAATACTGTGCAATTGAAAATTTCTTGCTATTGCACAATACTTATTATATAATTATGTACACATCCTGTTTGGTGTGTATCTCCTACCATATCATTATTATTTGTTTTTAAATATAAATCAGAAATAACCAACTTAAAATGGAAAATTTTTAAAGAAAAAAAAAAGGAACCCCCCCCCCCAAATTTTTTAAACCCCCTTATGATTCATCACCCCCAAACTCAATCCCAGCCTTCCCTTTGTGGTATGGTACCTTGCAGTACAATTTCAGAGAGATCCATACACTTGAACACAAGTTATTGTCTGGAAACTAGAAAAATGTGTTTTTTGGCCCCTTTTTGGCCCCATATTCCTAAACGTTTAGGGCAATTACCCCCAAACCCAAACCCAGCTTTCCCTTTGTGATATGGAACCTTGTAGTACAATTTCAGAAAGATCCATACACTTACACACAAGTTATTGTCCTGAAACTAGAAAAATGCTTGTTTTTTGCCCCTTTTTGGCCCCTAATTCCTAAAATATTGAGGCAATTACCCCCATCATCAATCCCAGCCTTCCCTTTGTGGTATGGTGCCTTGCAGTACAATTTCAGAGAGATCCATACACTTGAACACAAGTTATTATCTGGAAACTAGAAAAATGCTTATTTTTGGCCCCTTTTTGGCCCCCAATTCCTAAACGTTTCGGCAATTACCCCCAAACTCAATTTCAGCTTTCCCTTTGTGATATGGAACCTTGTAGTACAATTTCAGAAAGATCCATACACTAACACACAAGTTATTGTCATGAAACTAGAAAAATGCTTGTTTTTTGCCCCTTTTTTGGCCCCTAATTCCTAAAATTTTGAGGCAATTACCCCCAAAATCAATCCCAGCATTCCTTTTGTGATATGGAACCTTGTGGTACAATGTCAAAGAGATCCATACACTAACACACAAGTTATGTCTGGAAGTTACAAAAATGCTTATTTTTGGCCCCTTTTTGGCCCCTAATTCCTTTACTGTTGGTACCATAACCCCCAAAATCAATCCCAACCTTCCTTTTGTGGTATTGAACCTTGTGGTAAAATTTCATAGAGATCCATTCACTTAAACTAAAGTTAGAGTGCGAAAACCAATACCAATATACGACCACAAAAATTTTTTTGCGGTCGTATAAAAATTGAAATCATTATTCAGAAAACTAACATGACTAATTAAGTATCTAATCATCAGTCACATTAATTTGTTCTTATGACCTGTAGAGTGTTATCATCATAATGTGACTTACTGTAGAGTGGTACTATTAAACCTTATAGCCCATCTGGTAAAGGCCAAGGGAGCTATCAAATCTTTTCTATAGTACTTCCTTACAGAAATAGGCATTAATAATGGAGAAGTGAGTCCTAAAGATTTCATCATCAATTAAAGCTCAAGCATCTCATATTATGCTAAGAGAAGGAAAACTGACTCACTGAAGAGTGGTATATTATGAACATATGACCTTCGACTTGTAGAGTCCTATCATCATCATGTGACCATACAACTGACTCACTGTAGATGGTATCTTATGACCATAATATGACCTTCGACTTGTAGAGTCCTATCATCATCATGTGACCATACAACTGACTCACTGTAGATGGTATCTTATGACCATAATATGACCTTCGACTTGTAGAGTCCTATCATCATCATGTGACCATACAACTGACTCACTGTAGATGGTATCTTATGACCATAATATGACCTTCGACTTGTAGAGTCCTATCATCATGATGTGACCATACAACTGACTCACTGTAGATGGCATCTTATGACCATAATATGACCTTCGACTTGTAGAGTCCTATCATCATCATGTGACCATACAACTGACTCACTGTAGATGGTATCATAAGACCATATGACCTTGACTTGTAGAGAGCTATCATCATCATGTGAACATATAACTGACTCACTAGAGTGATATCTTATAACTATATGACCTTGACTTTTAGAGTTATCATCATATTGTGAACATACAACTGACTTACTGTAGAGTGGTATCTTATGACTATATGACCTTGACTTTTAGAGTTATCATCATATTGTGAACATACAACTGACTTACTGTAGAGTGGTATCATTAAATTGTAACCTTATAGGATAGCCCATCTGGTAAAGGCCCGGGGAGATATCAAATCTTTTCTATAGTACTTTCATAAAGAAATAGGCATCAATAATGGAGAAGTGAGTCCTAAAGATTTCATCATCAATTAAAGCTCAAGCATCTTATATTATGATGATAAAATTTATAACTGTGGCTGCCTTTATATTAATTTGACTTCTTAAAGAATATTATATGCATTTTAAGTAATTTCTCGAAATTTTTCTTCAAACACATATTGCTGTAAAACTAACTTCTTTGGGTAATAAATGTATCATATAATTTAATAATTTATTAATAAAAATTTTAATGATTTTTTAAATGAAGAAATAACCGATTCCATTTACAAATAATCTGAGGCAGTTTTTTATAAGACAGTCAGGAATGAATATATGAGATGTTTTCAGAGCAGAATATTGTATCACACATGATGCAGTGGTTGAATCCATATTAATTGCATGGCAAGACCAAATTTCATTTTGATCATAATCAAAGGTTGGTGTGTAATAATTTATTGTATTGCACGTGCAAATAAAGCTTCAAATTAGTGACGTCAGTGTGACAAAAATATATCTTAAAGAGTTTTACAAGCATTACTATACAATAAAAGGGTTATTGCATAAATATTGGTGAATATTATCCTTCTTATAATTTATTTTGCACACGCAAGTTCATGCTATAATCATTTTCTATGACTGCATGTACTCTTTAAAACAATCATAAAAAAAAAGAAAAAGGCTTGATTTAACTCTTCATCATGTTCATGGTTGCAACATACAAATGTAGATATATTACAGAATTGAATGCTTCTTTATGTAATTATATAAGGTTGAGAAGAGTTGAGAGCAGCATTTTTTAGTGTGAAGCTTTTCTGTGCTTCATACAAAATGTGATTCTGTAAAAGCTTTCACACCCCAATAAAATTACAAAAAGAAGCATTCAATTCTTCATAAAAATCTACTAAGGACAATTTTCCCCAATATTCATGCAATAACCTTCTATTATATCATGCTTATAGATATAGGAAGATGTGGTATGAGTGCCAATGAGACAACTCTCCATCCAAGTTACAATTTATAAAAGTAAATAGTTTAGAAGATAATTTAAATGAACTAGAGTTTGAACTTTCTAATTTGGAACATAGAGTAGAAGTCTGAAATAACTTTGTCAAATGAATGCCTTATTCATCATGTTCATATTGCATCAAGGTATATTGCTTAAATAAGAAATTAAAGTACAAGGAAATAACACACAAAAAAAATCCGAGATACAAAACTTTTTTTGCCATAGAACATGATGTTTTCAGAAACACAAAAAGAAGTAAACTACCATGAATACCAGCATGACTATGATAAATAAATAATTAATTATAATCAATCTTCATCATCAATGACAATGACGTCTGACTCCATTATAGGATCTCGTGGTTTTGGCTGTGACCCAGTAATTAATGGTGATCTGTTGGTCTGTACAGGTTGGACCACAGTTTTAGATATGACTGGGGATCCATTTGTATACTTAACACTAAAGCTTGCACCTACTGAACTAGAATCTGAATCAGCAGGAACTGTGTAGTCCATTCGAACATACCCAGGAAAACCTGCTGCTTTTGGTGAATTTTTGTTCATTGATTTGGATGGACTATTCTGAGAGGTTCTAAGAATCTGTGGTGTCTCTTTAAACATTGCTCTATTTATCAAACCTGATACAGGCTTGGAATTTTGCATTAGTTCTTTACAAGTACTTGCGCCTGGAGGTGAGGAATGTATAGTAGTAAGAGATTTATTTTGTAATGACGACGGACTTAATATTCCTCTTACACCTTGAAATATTCTTTCTCTGGTATTTGAAGGACTAATAGGCCTTGAGACTTGTTGCTGAAGTCTTGGGTAATAAGTCATTCTTGGTGACATTAAACCCGACAAATGCTGCTGATTTGACCTGAATACCTTTTGTGAATTAGGAACTGCCATCCTTCTTGCTAGCTGAGGACTTGGTGCAACCCCAGTTATGTTTTTAAATGTGGTCATCCCTTTCTGAGGAAGTGAAGCTGTCTGAGGAGGTTGCTGAGGTGCTTTATCACCTTCCTCATCAGAAGATGAGAGTTCAATTATTTCAATGTCATCTGGATTGATCTGTCGCACCGTACTTTGATTAAATGTTTGTTTTCGCCTATTATTGCCTGGCACATTGCCGAACTGAGGTCTAACTGGGGCAGTGGGATGTGGGTAAACCATTCTCATACTTGTAGAACCATCTGGGTTATGAACCACTTTAGAAAACATTCGCTGATTTGGAAGAAGATTGTGAGGCCTGTTTAATTTGCGAAGACCATCAGTTATTTGTTTTAATTTGGCATATTTAGGTCCAGGTTTGGGTTTCTGTACTATTTTCTTAATAATAGGATGTTCCTGTTCATACATTCTACGGATGTATGCATACGGATAGGGTGGAGGGGGCTTAGGTCTTAACCATCTCCTTATCACTCCTGGTTTCACTCTTTCAAGCTTAACACAACATTTGACTATGTCCTCCAATAATTTTCTGCTTCTTTTTGTAAGTCCTGTTTTTAAACGCATCATGAATTCCTTTCTTTGTCCTGAGTTAAATTTATATGCATGTTTATGTTTTGACATATGCCTTCGGTTCTTCTTATTGAATACAATTGGGTATGAAGATTCTCCCCTGTGACGTAATTTTTCCACAAAATCATTTTTCATTGGTCCAGAACAAAACTGCTCTATTTTATCTCCACTAATGATTGAATAATTAGTATCAATCTTCCAGTGTTTCTTAACCCTCTGTCCTAATGGTGAAGTTAAATCAATGCCACAAAGTAAAGTTCCAAGTGGAGTTTTCAATTTGTTTTTCTGAGATCCACTTTCATTTTCACTCTCAGAGTCTTCTGAGCTATACCCCTCAGGAAGTTCCAATGCTTGAGTAAAACTTAAGTGTCGTTTTCTACAACTGTTATGTGTGTCTCTACTCAACTGTGACATTAATGATTTGGGAGTTCTGGGCGTCTTTACCGCAGATTCATCATATGTGACATCAATTATTTCACAATCACTATCAATATCTGAGACAGGAGTAACAACTCTAGGAGGTTCCTTTGGTTTGTCTGATAAATTAAGAGCTTTAAGAAAATCCTCCGTTTTGGGAGGAATATAAGGTTCTGGTGTAAATCGTCTCCTCCTATGGCAGACTAATTTAATTGGCTGGACTTGATATTGTGCCGTTTGAGGCTGTATAACTATGTGTGTTGGTTTAGTACGACGGGGTCTTAACTTTCTATGCACCGGAGGTGAGGGAGGAGGAGGGGGTGGGGGTGGGGGTTTAGTTTCTTCCTCCTTCTCAGCCTCTTCTTCACATTTGTCTTGGTGAGTCATTAATTCCTCCTGATCGGCAAATTGTTGAGCACACAGAAAACATATCCATATAGGATCTTCAACATTTTCTTGACAATCACCTGCAAGATTAAAAATATCATCGAGAATATACTCAAATATTTAGGGCAAATGACTACATCAATAAATCCTTCAATGAATTTGTTTGCAGTATTCCAAATTCCTCAGAAGAAAAAATGTCTTATTACAGTTAAACAGAAATTACAACTATTAGTATCAGGTTAAAACGGGGTAACTATAATAATTTCTATACCTTCGATCTTGTCAGCAGAAATAGAATGAACAATTAAAGCCGTGGACAAATGGAGACAAATGGAGCCTGTAATTCAGTGGTTGTCGTTGTTGCTGTATATCATATTTGGTTTTTGTTCATTGTTTTGTACATAAATCAGGCTGTTAGTTTTCTTGTTTGAAATGTTTAACATTTGTCATTTTGGGCCTTTTAAAGTTGACTATGCGGTATGGGTTTTTCTCCTTGTTGAAGGACCTAGGGTGACCTATAGTTGTTAACATCTATGTCATTCGGTCATTGGTGGATAGTTGTCTCATTGGCAATCATACCACATCTTCTTATTTTTATATATATATCAGAATCTTGCTTTTAGATTTGATCCATAGTACAATAAACTGCTTTGCTGAGCGCAGCTGGATACGCCCGCAGAGGTCCAACCCTGAACAGTTGGGGCAAAAATGGACACAATATTCAAGCTCGATACAGGTCTGAATTTGGATTGTATTAAATATTTGACATATTATAGGTTTCTGAATAAATGTAGTCAAAGAACTTGAAATTGATTATATGAATTGAATTTATATTCAACTAAAGATTTCTTGCTGTTGTGCAATACACTGTGCTGTTGCGCAATACTTAGTAAATCTGTTGTCAGACTGTAAACAATTAAAGTTCAATTAATTCTCAATGTCATATTAGAAATTTATGAAAATGTAAAGGGAGCTTACATCAATAGATATAAACAATTCACCAAAGTTTCATGAGAATTGCTGACAGCATTTTTGAGTTATTGTCCGAAAACTGGAAAATCCCCCCTTTTTTAATGAATAAAACCCCATAACTCAGAAATATTAAATGTAAAATTTATAAAATTCTAAACTGAGCTTACATCAATAAATATCAACAATTCACCAAAGTTTCATAAGAACTGCTGAAAGCATTTTTCAGTTATTGTCCGAAAACTGGAAAATCCCCCTTTTTTTTTATGAATGAAACACTGTAACTCGGAAATGTAAAATCGAAAGGGAGCTCATTTCAAAAGATATAAACAATTCACCACAATTTCTTGCAAGTTGGTGAAAGCATTCTTGAGTTATTGTCTGAAAACTGGAAAATCCCCCTTTTTTAATGAATAAAACCCCATAACTCGGAAACGTAAAATCTAAAATTTATAAAAAACGAAAGGGAGCTCACGTCAATAGATATAAACAATTCACTGGATGGATAGACGGACGGACGGATAGACGGACAACGGTATACCATAATACGTCCAGTAAGCGGGCGTATAAAACTGTTTTTGATCATACCAATTTCACTGCAGCTGGCATTCTAAATGTTGACATTTTGATTAAATAGCAAATGTAATCAGGTCAGCTTTAATTCTTTCTCTACTAACACTGATGAATTACAGGTTTTACTGTTGTTTCTACTAACACTGATGAATTACAGGTTTTACTGTTGTTTCTACTAACACTGATGAATTACAGGTTTTACTGTTGTTTCTACTAACACTGATGAATTATAGGTTTTACTGTTGTTTCTACTAACACTGATGAATTGCAAGTTTTACTGTTGTTTCTAATAACACTGATGAATTACAGGTTTTACTGTTGTTTCTAGTAACACTGATGAATTACAGGTTTTACTGTTGTTTCTACTAAAACTGATGAATTTAGTGATTAACTGTTGTCTCTTGTATAATTCAATAAAAAAATGTCTAGAATTGGGGAAATTTTGGGGTTTTTGGCTTTTGTTTGTTGTCTTTTCTTTTTTTTATGTTTACTTGTGTTGATGACTTGCTGTCTTATACCATGTATAATGTGTGACAAAAACATGAAAAACAAGTAATACACAGCTGTGATAAATATGCTGCATAAATTTATACAGTAAAATCTGTGACAACTAGCCCCTAACTAAACTACAAACATGTCCATTCTGTACCAAAAATTAGTTCCAAAAGTTTTCATTTATAATAAACTGTATTATGAGTTTTATAAACTGGCTACCTGCACAATCAGAGCCTTTTTAAAGTTCTAGTTCACTAATAAAGTTCAAATATGCATGAGAATTCCATTTTATTAAAAATATCTCAAATTGATAATTTGTGTCAACATATTGTTTATCATCAAAAAGTTTAAACATATATTTTTGCACCTCTTGCATAGCTGATCATATGCTTCTCAAAATAATTTGCAAAATTATGAATATCAGTCAAAAAGTTGTTTTTAGGCCAACAACTCCTATAAGGACTTATCCAATGGTTTCAGTCATATTGGCTTGTTCGTATATCCTGTATTGCTGATAATTTTGAATGTTTACAGTTTTTATGTATATTTTATAGTTCTTGAGATAAGTGGCAAAAACACTAAAAATTTGTCAAAAATCGTCATGGAAGGACCACAATTCCATAAGGAGTCATCCAATGGTTTTGGTCACAAAGTGTTTTTCATAGGTCCTATATTTGCTGATAATTTTTGCTGCTTACAATTTTTACTATCTGATATAATTTTTTGTGATAATTGGCAAAACAAGAAAATTTGTCAAAATCCTCATTTAAGGACCATAACTCTTTAAGACGCCATCCAATGTTTTTTTCTCTCGGTCATATAGGAATATTTGTAGGTCTTGTATTGCTGGTTATTCTTGCCTTTAACAGTTTTTACTTTTCAAATATCATTTTGAGTTACTAGGTCAAAACATGAATTTAAGCTAAAAACCGTCATTTAATGGCAATAACTCCTTTAAAAGTCATCTGATAATAAAAATAAATTATGGTGAAAATTGAAAATATGCTGATCTTGACATTCTACAAATGTTTGCCAAGTTAGATTTTCTCTTTCTATTATAGTTTTCAAAATATAAGACACTTAATGCATTTGACCCCCCTATGTTCTATTTTTAGCCATGGTGGCCATGTTTATTGACTTACTGAGAAAAAAAACCACACATTTTATAAATGATCCCATAAGGATCATTCACTCAAAGTTTGGTAGAAATTGATTCAATAGTTTCAGAGGAGGAGATCTTTGAAAAAGTTTTATGACAAAACAATGACAATTGACAAATGATGGCAATAGCTCACATGGCCCTACATGCCAGTTAAGTTAAAAATTAAAGAAAATATTTGTCACCAGTTATCACAGATTTTACTGTAGTAATACTATTTTCTAACATTTGTTACCTCCTGTATCAGGCACACTGGTGTCTTGAATAGCAGGAGATTCTAGAACCTCATCCTACAAATAGTAACTAACATTTAATGGAAGCTTACCATGAAGTCCATCATTTGGCATTAATTGTTACTGACTGATGAAAGGGATTAAAATTGAAGCTAAGACTCATAACAGAAAATACACAAATGTATGGCTAAGAATATTTGTTTGATAAAAATTATTAATTTTGACAAATTCTGAATTTCTTCCTTGTAAAATTAATACTGTATGTCCACACATATATACCCAGTATGTATAATAGGCAATCCATCCACTTTTGTTAAAGATTATAAAATTTCCTTATTGTGCAGAATGGCATATTTCCGTTATTATTGACTGTAAAAATGTGAAACTACTATGGGAAGGCAATATGAAGCTACTGTGACATTGCAATGTGGAGCTACTGTAAGAAGGCAATGTGGAGCTATTGTGAGAAGTCAATGTGGAGCTACTGTGAGAAGTCAATGTGGAGCTACTGTGAGGATGCAATGTGGAGCTACTGTGAGGAGGCAATGTGGAGCTACTGTGAGGAGGCAATGTGGAGCTACTGTGAGAAGTCAATGGGGAGCTACTGTGAGGAGTCAATGTGGAGCTACTGTGAGAAGTCAATGTGGAGTTACTGTGAGAAGTCAATGTGGAGCTACTGTGAGGAGTCAATGTGGAGCTACTGTGGGGAGTTAATGTGGAGCTACTGTGAGGATGCAATGTGGAGCTACTGTGAGGAGGCAATGTGGAGCTACTGTAAGAAGGCAATATGGAGCTACTGTGAGGAGGCAATGTGGAGCTACTGTGAGGAGGCAATGTGGAACTACTGTGAGAAGTCAATGTGGAGCTACTGTGAGGAGGCAATGTGGAGCTACTGTGAGAAGGAAATCTGAAGTTTCTCTGTGGAGTTACTGTGAGAAGCAATGTAAATCTAGTGTATGAAGGAATCTGGAGTTACTGTGAGAAGGCAAGGTGGAGCTACTGTGAGGAGGCAATGTGGAGCTACTGTGAGAAGTCAATGTGGAGCTACTGTAAGAAGGCAATGTGGAGCTACTGTGAGAAGGAAATCTGAAGTTTCTCTGTGGAGTTACTGTGAGAAGCAATGTTAATCTAGTGTATGAAGGAATCTGGAGTTACTGTGAGAAGGCAAGGTGGAGCTACTGTGAGGTGGCAATGTGGAGCTACTGTGAGAAGGAAATCTGAAGTTTCTCTGTTGAGTTACTGTGAGAAGCAATGTAAATCTAGTGTATGAAGGAATCTGGAGTTACTGTGAGAAGGCAAGGTGGAGCTACTGTGAGGAGGCAATGTGGAGCTACTGTAAGAAGGCAATGTGGAGCTACTGTGAGAAGGCAATGTGGAGCTACTGTGAGAAGGTAATGTAGAGTTAATGTGTGGAGTTACTGTGAGAAGACAATGTAAATCTAGTTTGAGACGGAAATCTGGATTCAATGTGTGGAGCTGCTGTGAGAAGGAAATCTGAAGTTTCTCTGTGGAGTTACTGTGAGAAGCAATGTAAATCTAGTGTATGAACGAATCTGGAGTTACTGTGAGAAGGCAATGTGGAGCTACTGTGAGAAGGAAATCTGGAGTTACTGTGTGAAGCTACTGTGAGAAGGCAATGTGGGCCTACTGTGAGAAGGCAAAGTGTAGCTACTGTAAATTCAGAAATTATTGCTAGGCTATTAATGCGAATAATGCGACTAAGTGAGTATCGCAATAATAAGAACTCGCATTCATTTATCTTTTACATATATCTGTATGCAGATTTTCCTGACATCGCAATAATTAATTTCGCATTTTTGTCCATTTTTAAAAAATCGCAATAATAAATGCACGCAATAATTTCTGAATTTACAGTACTGTGAGAAGGAAATCTGGAGTTACTGTGTGGAGCTACTGTGAGAAGGCAATGTAAATATAGTGTGAGAAAGAAATCAGGAGTTACTATATCGAGTTACTGTGAGAAGGCAATGTTGAGCTACTGTGAGGAGGCAATGTGGAGCTACTCTTTGAGTTACTGTGTGGAGCTACTGTGAGAAGGCAATGTAAATCTAGTATGAGAAGGAAAGCTGGAGTTAATGTTGAGCTACTGTGAGAAGGCAATGTAAATTAATGTGAGAAGGAAATCTAGAGTTACTGTGTGGAGCTACTGTGAGAAGGCAATGTGGGCCTAGTGTGAGAAAGAAATCTGGAGTTACTGTATGGGGTTACTGTGAGAAGGCAATGTAAATCTTGTATGAGAAGGAAAGCTGGAGTTAACGTGGAGCTTCAGTGACAATGCAATGTATGGAGTTACTGTGAGAAGGCAATGTTGAGCTACTCTGTGGAGTTACAGTGAGAAAACAATATGAAGCTACCGTGAGAAGGCAATGTGGGGCTACAGTGAGCAGGCAATGTAGCTACTGTGGGAAGGCAATGTGGTTGGCAGGGGCAACAGTGAGACAATGTGGAGCTACTGTGAGAAAGCAAAGTGGAGCTACTGTGAGAAGGCAATGTGAAGTTACTGTGGGAAGGCAAGGTGGAGCTACTGTGAGAAGGCTGTGAAAAGACAATGTGGGGATACAATGAGAAGACAATGTGGAGATACTGTGAGATGGCAATATGGTGGACAGGGGCTATAATGAGAAGGCAATGTGGATCAAGTGTGAGATAGCAAAGTGGAGCTACTGTGAGAAGGCAATTTGGGGCAACAAAGAGAATTTCATGTGGAGCTTCAGTGAGAAGTAAATAGTAATAAAACAACAGTATATTATGAACATAATTCTTTCCAGCTTTTGAGCCAGTTCATAAAGAATGATGATCAATTGTCAATTTAGAGTTCATGAAATAACTTATTCAATGGTTAAATACTCTGGCAATACTTTGTACCTTTGTTATCTCTGATGGTTCAGAAGCTCCTCCCAATAAACTTTCCTGGCCCAGATGTTTATAACAACTTCTTACAACTGCTCTTAATTCTTGGGCTTTTATCTGTAAAAAAATAATATGCTGTCAGTGTATGATATCTGAATAACATTCTGACAGTGAAAGAGATCTGAATAATATGCTGACAGTGTATGAGATCTGAACAATATGCTAGCTATGTATGATATCTGAATAATATGCTGACGGTATAAGAGATCTGAATAGCATGCTCACACTGTTTGAGATCAGAATAATATGCTGACAACTACTTGTGTATGAGATCTGTATGTTGACAGTGTATGAGAGTTGTACATGTTGTATGAGATCTGAAAAATTTTCAGACAGTGAAAGAGATCTGAATAATAAGCTGACAGTGTATGAGATCTGAACAATATGCTGGCTATGTATGATATCTGAATAATATGCTGACAGTATAAGAGATCAGAATAATATGCTGACAGTGTAAGATATCTGAATAGCATGCTGACAGTGTAAGAGATCTGAATAGCATACTGACAGTGTAAGAGATCTGAATAGCATGCTGGCTATGTATGATATCTAAACAGTATGCTGACAGTGCATGAGATCTGTAATAATAAGTTGACAGTGTATAAGATCTGAATAGAATGTCAAAACGGTATGAGATCTGAATAAAATGCAAACAGTGTTTGAGATCTAAAAAGGTTGACAGTGTATGAGATCTGAATAACATGTCAACAGTGTATAAGATCTGAATTAAATAATGACATGAGATATGTATGTTGACAGTGTATGAAATCTGTATGTCAACAGTGAATCACTGAATGAGATATGTATGTTGACAGTGTACAAATCTGAATAATATGTTGGCATTGTATGCTAACTGATCAGTATGCTGACAGTTTAAGAGATCTGAATAGCATTCTGATAGTGTAAGAGATCTGAATAGCATGCTGACAGCGTAAGAGATCTGAATAGCATACTGACAGTGTAAGAGATCTGAATAGCATTCTGACAGTGTAAGAGATCTGAATAGCATACTGACAGAATAAGAGATCTGAATAGCATGCTGGCTATGTATGATATCTGATCAGTATGCTGACAGTGCAAGAGATCTGATTGGCATGCTGACAGTGTAAGAGATCTGAAAAGCATGATGAGAGTGTAAAAGATCTGAATAGCATTCTGGTAGTGTAAGAGATCTAAATAGCATGCTGAGAGAGTAAGAGATCTGAATAGCATGCTGATAATGTAAGAGATCTGAAAAGCATCCTGACAGTGTATAATATCTGAATAATATGCTGACAACTACTTGTGTATAAGATCTGAAGACAGTGTATGAGATCTGTATGTTGACAGTGTATGAGATCTGAAAAAATTGCAGACATTGTATGATATCTGAATAATATGCTGACATTGTATGATATCTGAAAAATATGCTGACATTGTATGATATCTGCATAATATACTAACAGTGTGTGATATCTGAATAATATTCTGGAATTGTATGATATCTGATCAGTATGTTGACAGTGTAAGAGATCTGAATAGCATGCTGAGAGTGTAAGAGATCTGAATAGCATGCTGATAATGTAAGAGATCTGAATAGCATGCTGATAATGTAAGAGATCTGAATAGTATGCTGACAGTGTATAATATCTGAATAATATGCTGACAACTACTTGTGTATAAGATCTGAAGACAGTGTATGAGATCTGAAAAATTTGCAGACAGTGTATGATATCTGAATAATATGCTGACATTGTATGATATCTGCATAATATGTTGACAGTGCATGATATCTGAATAATATGCTGGCATTGTATGATATCTGATTAGTATGCTGACAGTGTATGAGATCTGTATGTTGACAGTATATGAGATCTGAAAAATTTGCAGGCAGTGTATGATATCTGAATAATATGCTGATAATGTATGAGATCTGAACAATATGCTGACAACTACTTGTGTATGAGGTCTGAAAAATTTGCAGACAGTGTATGATGTCTGAATAATATGTGATATGTATGTCAACAGTGTATGAGATCTTAATATTTGATGATAATGTATTAGATCTTATTAATATGCTAACAGTGTATGCAGTCTGAATAAAAGGCTGACAGTTTAAGAGATCAAAATAGAATGCTGACAATGTATAAGATCTGAATAATATGCTGATACATGGACTGACATTAGGTTTTATACCAAGTTGTCCCATCAGACAAGTGACTATGAATTTTACTTGTCAGAATGGAAATATCACTTGTCCAAATTTTGCCAACTCATAACAGACAGTTTTTAGTACCTTTTTTGATTTGCAGTGTCTTTTATGTATCTTTCTTATTTGATATAGTCACACAACATCGCAATAAAGTATACTTATTATGTTGTTATTATTCCATCTGTTAAATTCACCTATTTTTTGTAGTTTTGTACAGACTCAGTATATAATGGGTACAATTTGTGAACTGAAAATTGAAAGTCAGAGAGGTGAAAATTTAAATAACACTGTACAGTAGTCATGGTAGTGTAGCAAACTAAATAAAATGCTCCGCTGGGGTGCAGCTTGATACGACCGCAGAGGTCGAACCCTGAACAGTTGGGGCAAGTATGGACACAACATTCAAGCTTGATACAGCACTGAATTTGGATTGTAATTAAATATTTGACACAGCATAGGTTTCTCACACAGAATGAAAGTGGTCTAAGAACTTAAAATTTTTTAATTTACCTATTCAAACCATATCATTATTATTTGCTTTTATATATAAATCAGAAATAACCAATTTAAAATGGAAAATTTTAAAGAAAAAAAAGGAAAAAAAAATCCCCCCCCCCCCCCAATTTTTTGAACCCCCTTATGATTCATCACCCCCAAACTCAATCCCAGCTTTCCCTTTGTGGTATGGTACCTTGCAGTACAATTTCAGAGAGATCCATACACTTGAACACAAGTTATTGTCTGGAAACTAGAAAAATGCTTGTTTTTTGGCCCCAAATTCCTGAACGTTAAGGGCAATTACTCCCAACTCAAACCCAGCTTTCCCTTTGTGATATGGAACCTTGCAGTACAATTTCATAAAGATCCACACAAGTTATTGTCTTGAAACTAGAAAAATGCTTGTTTTTTTGCCCGTTTATGGCCCCTAATTACTAAAATTTTGAGGGAATTACCCCCAAACTCAATTCCAGCCTTACTTTTGAGGTATGGTACCCTGCAGTACAATTTCAGAGAGATCCATACACTTGAACACAAGTTATTGTCTGCAAACTAGAAAAATGCTTATTTTTGGCCCCTTATACCTAAACTTTTTGGGCAATTACCCCCAAACTCAATTCCAGCTTTCCCTTTGTGATATGGAACCTTGTAGTACAATTTCATAAAGATCCATACATTTACACACAAGTTATTGTCATGAAACTAGAAAAATGCTTGTTTTTTGCCCCTTTTTGGCCCCCAATTCCTAAAATTTGGAGGCAATTACCCCCAAAATCAATCCCAGCATTCCCTTTGTGATATGGAACCTTGTGATACAATGTCAGAGAGATCCATACACTTACACACAAGTTATTGTCATGAAACTAGAAAAATGCTTGTTTTTTGCCCCTTTTTGGCCCCTAATTCCTAAAAATTGGAGGCAATTACCCCCAAAATCAATCCCAGCATTCCCTTTGTGATATGGAACCTTATGGTACAATGTCAGAGAGATCCATACACTTACACACAAGTTATGTCTGGAAGTTACAAAAATGCTTATTTTTGGCCCCTAATTCCTTAACTGTTGGTACCATAACCCCCAAAATCAATTCCCACCTTCCTTTTGTGGTATTGAACCTTATGGTAAAATTTCATTGAGATCCATTCACTTTAACTAAAGTTAGAGTGCTAAAACTAATGTGTCTTCGGACGACGACAACGATGCCAACGTCATACCAAATATACGACCACAAAAATTTGTTTGCGGTCATATAAAAATAGAGATGAATTTTTCAGATAGAGCTCAGACAGAGTGAACCTGATACAATAACAAGTTCTATATTACTATATTGTTATGTTAACAGGCTGTTAAGGTCAAGAAACAGTAAATAGGCTATATCGCAGATTTTGCTAAAATTTGGCATACAACCTTGGCTCGTTGAACTACAAATGAAAATCGAAAAAAACAATGCATTTATCTCTTTAAATATCTGAAATAATGCAGATTGATTTCTTTCAATATGGGTGAATATTTGTATAGATAGCACATAAAATCGGAGAAAAATTTTCTAAAATTTGGCTTAAAAACATCATATCTCTAGTTTTTACTCCATAGATTTTTCTTAAAAAACTATATGTTGTTGACACATAAATTTCTGTTTTAATGATATAAAATAATTATATGGTCACCGACTTCGTTTTTTGTCTAATAATCAATTTGTTACCTTGTTGGTAGTGAAAAACGTCAAAAATCAACGTTTTACGGCCTGCAACGTGATGACGTTACGATTATTTCGACATTTTGTGGGATTTTTTCACTAAGAACACAACTGTGAATGATGTATACCGTAAAAACGAAGTCGGTGACCCTATCTTTATTTTGCATCATTAAAACGGAAATTTGTGTATCAACAACATATAGTTTTTTAAGAAAAATCTATGGAGTAGAAATTAGAGATTTGATGATTTTAAGACAAATTTTAGAAGGTTTTTTGCCGATTTTATGTGCTTTCTATACAAATGTTCACCCATTTTGAAAGAATTCAATCAGTAATATTTCGAATGATAAATGAGATAAATGCATTATTTTTTCGATTTTCAGTTGTAGTTCATCAAGCCAAAGTTGTATGTAAAATTTTACTGAAATCTGTGACAGCTCATTTACTGTAACTTGACCTTAATGTCTGTGAGTCAGTGTATGACCTTATGTTCAGTTAGTTAGGACATCCTCGGCATCTGGCCCAAACTCAAAAATGATGCGGCGATCGATAAAAATCATATACTGACATGCACAAAAATTGGTACATTTGTATGGTACTGGTAAAGTTCTCTTTTGAATCAATGGTTTAACATATTTGTATCTTAATTTTTATATATTTAATTTTGGACAACTTTTTCGTTCAATAAAATTGAATTTGTATGTTTGCCCCTTCAATTTCTATAAAGAACCACTTCCAAGAAATAGAGAGAAGAGAGACTTCTGATTGGTCCGATAAAAATACTGCGCTCTTTGATTGGTCGATATTTAAAAACTCTTAATTTAGATTAGGGAAAATACGCGAAATGCCGAATTTGCACCAGATGTATAAAGGTTGAAAAAACGGCATCAACAACTGTTAAATTGATGATTTGTGTTTTTATAGAAATAAACTTCCGATCTAGAAATACTATAACTGGAGCAATTTAGTTTGAATGTAAGGATATCTTTATTTTTTACTTGTCACCTCGGACAAGTCCACTACGAAAATCAGTAGTCCGAACATTGTTTTTAGTTGCCCAGGGCAATCCGACAGCCGTTAATACCAGTCCCTTTTCAGACATTGTATATATGAGATCACAATAGTATGTTGACAGTGTATGAGATCTGAATAATATTCTGACAGGGTAGGATGTCTAAATCATATACAGACATGAAATCTGTATGTTGACAGTGTATGAGATGTGAATAATGAGCTGAAAGTGTATGAGATTTAAATAACATGTTGACAGTGTATTTGATCTGAATAATAAGTTGACAGTGCATAAGATCTAAATAGAATGTCAAAACGGTATGAGATCTGAATAAAATGCAAACAGTGTTCGAGATCTAAAAAGGCTGACAGTGTATGAGATCTGAATAACATGTCAACAGTGTATAAGATCTGAATTAAATACTGACATGAAATATGTATTTGGACAGTTTTTGAGATCTGTATGTCAACAGAGAATCACTGAATGAGATCTGAATAATATGCTGACATTGTATGAGATCTGTATGTTGACAGTGTACAAATCTGAATAATATGTCAACAGTGTATGAGATCTCAATAGTATGTCAACAATGTATGAGATCTGAATTATATACTGACATGAGATTTGTATGTTAAAATTGTATAAGATCTGTATGTCAACAGTGTATGAGATCTGAATAGCATGCTGAGAGTGTATTAGATCTGTATGTCAACAGTGTATGAGATCTGAATAGCATGCTGACAGTGTATTAGATCTGTATGTCAACAGTGTATGAGATCTGAATAGCATGCTGACAGTGTATTAGATCTGTATGTAAACAGAGTACGAGAATTATGTGTTGACAGTGTATGAGATCTCAATAATATGCTGACATTGTATGAGATCTGTATGTTCACAGTGTATCAGATCTGTATGTTGATAGTGTATTAGATCTGTATGCCAACAATGTATTAGATCTGTATGTTGACAGTGTATTATATCTGTATGTTGACAGTGTATTAGATCTGTATGTCAACAGAGTACAATATCTGAATAATATGTTGACAGTGTATGAGATCTCAATAATATGCTGACAGTGTATGAGATCTCAATAATATGCTGACAGTGTATGAGATCTGTATGTTGACAATAGTGTATGAGATCTGTATGTTGACAGTGTATGAGATAAAGGTCTTTGCAAGGAGTCAATTACATAGTGCAGATAATTCATGATTTTCATCTTATGCTTTCATAAATTGTGCCAAGTATAATAGATAAAATGTATTTTTAAGCAAAACACTTGACACAGTAAAGCATGTTGACATGTATAGTGCTATTTTTAATACCCGTAATGCTAAAGTATTATCTGATTCTTCATCTGGAGTTGTCCATGCCACACCATCAGGCCACCATACCGGTTTGTACTGATTTTTACCAAAGTATGGTTGTTCCCTTCCTGTGACTAGACATACTAAATGTGGAATAAATTCTGTCAACTGGACCTGTAAAATAACAACTCATCCAAATAAAACATATCAGTTATTACTACAATTCTACCTCCATATACCTCCTTCATATAATCAACCATACTTTCACTGTATCAAATATTTCTTTTTTAAAAGATTTAATCAGGGTTTGGTGGTTATCAAGAGCAATTACAATGTAATATTTCATAAGGGTCAATATAACTAATGTGCCGCTTAAAAAAACCTCTGTGCAATATTGGACATACTGCTCTTTTGAAAAATTGACTGCAACCATTTGTGCTTTTTTGGAGAGCAGAAGCCATAAAATAAAGATGTAAAAACTTCAAGAGTAATAAATATTTGTAAAGAACCGAATTTCCAGACAATTTAACTGCGTAATAATAGGAACTTTTACTTGCTCAAGCCACATCACATAGGGCATTTCAAAGTTTCCAAATCTGTGAAAAATTTAATCACACTTTGTAACCCGAAAATTATACATCTGAGAAGATGTCATCCATATCAAAGTTTACTGTATGGACAGATCTAGAGGAATGGGAAGTAAACAGCTGCGCTATGAGCGCATGATATGCCCATCGCTTTTTCAAAGAATAAAGTTCAATAACTTCTCAATGTAATATCATAAATTTATGAAAAACTAAAGGGAGGTAATTATCTTAATAGATATAAACCAGTCACCAAAGCACTTTGAAGATATTGTCTGAAAACTGGAAAATCACCCATTTTTTATGAATAATATCCAATAACTCGGAAATGTAAAATCTAAAATTTATAAAAATTGAAAGAGAGCTTGCGTCAATAGATATAAACAATTAACCGAAGTTTAATGAAAACTGCTGAAAGCATTTTTGAGTTATTGTACGAAAACTGGAAAATCCCCCTTTTTTTAATGAATAAAACCCCATATATCTCGGAACTGTTAAATCTAAAATTTCTAAAATCGAAAGGGAGCTCACGTCAAAAGATAAAAACAATTCACCAAAGTTTCTTGCAAATTGGTTAAAGTGTTTTTGAGTTATTGTGCAAAAACTGGAAAATCCCCCTTTTTTAATGAATAAAACCCCATAAATCAGAAACGTAAAATCTAAAATTTATAAAAAACGAAAGGGAGTTCACGTCAATAGATATAAACACTTCACCAAAGTTTCGTGCAAATTGGTTAAAGCGTTTTTGAGTTATTGTCCGACATGTTGACAACGGACGGACGGACAGAGGTATACCATAATACGTCCCGTAAACGGGCGTATAAAGGCTACCATTATTGCCTACCTGTAATGAATGGTGGATATATTGCCCAAATTAATTAACTTTCAAAGGGCAAAACTCCAGTAAAAATAGTTGATCAGCACTGATTTTCAACTGAACAGACATTGCTGATATAAACCCTTGATATAATTTTCATAACTATGAAAACAGAAATGAAGGCGTGAGATCGCTTACAATTGCAAATTTCCATATAATTTACATTTCTTAAGGGCATAACTCCTATAAAATTTCCCGTTGATCTTCTGCCATGTTTAAAACTTTAGATTTTGTGGAATCAAAGGAGAAGTTAATGACAGAAAACAAGGGAGGATGGCACTGACTGACTCACATGGCCATTAGGGTAGGACCAGGTGAGCTAAAATAGGTAGAAATTTTCAGTGACAATACGGATACAAATAATTTCATTGACCAATCAAGGCGCCTGCCCTTTGAAGGGCAGATCAATTTCAATGTTATTATTCATAACATAATAAACACCCTAATTAAAAAACTAATAAGGCAATAATGCTTCATTAGAAAAATAATTGTATTGATTATATAAAATTTTTTAACTTCATCTTAAAATTAGATATAATTATGTCAAAATATACTCCTATAAACCAACCATTTCTGTCTTGTTGACTTATTTGTAGGTTTTGTCTAGGGGATATATTTCTTACGTATAAAACTTCTCTGTATCTGTTATAGTTTTCAAGATAATAGCCAAAAACATAGTAAGGGGAACAAATCCATTAAATTTAAGGGCAATAACTCTTTTTATGTGCTTTTATATTTCAATCATTTTAAATACTACATACCGGGGTAAATGAATTGTTCTCTCAAGCTAAATTACTATAAATAATAAAGAGCTGGGCCATGAGCGCATGATACGCCCGTCACTTTTTCAAAGAATAAAGTTTCATAACTCCTAAATGTCATATCAGAAATTTATAAAATTAAAGAACCTTAGTGAGCGCGCTCACATACCCCACGTCCCCACATTGTCATTGGAGAAATAAAATAAGTGTAAGAAAAAAAAATTGTATCAGAAAAAATAAAATGCTCCGCTGGGCGCAGCTTGATACGACCCCAGAGGGTGAACCCTGAACAGTTGGGGCAAGTATGGACACAACATTCAAGTTTGATACAGCTCTGAATTTGGATTGTGATAAAATATTTGACACAGCATAGGTTTCTGACACAGAATGAATGTGGTCTAAGAACTTAAAATTTTTTAATTTACCTATTCAATATCCAAAATCTAAATACATGGTTAGATTCAGCATATCAAAGAATCCAAAGAATTCAATTTTTGATGAAATCAAACAAAGTTTAATTTTAGACCCTTTTGACCTCAATGTGGACCAATTTGATAACGGGGCCCAAAAATCAAAATACATGGTTAGATTCAGCATATCAAAGAACCCCATATATTCAATTTTTGTTGAAATCAAACAAAGTTTAATTTTGGACCCCAACTTGGACCAACTTGAAAACTGGGCCCATAATCAAAAATCTAAACACCTGATTAGATTCAGCATATCAAGGAACCCCAAGAATTCAATTTTGTTAAAATCAAACTCAGTTTGATTTTGGACCCTTTGGATCTTAATGTAGACCAATTTAAATAAAATGCTTCGCTGGGCGCAGCTTGATACGACCGCAGAGGTCGAACCCTGAACAGTTGGGCAAAGAAGGAAACAACATTCAAGCTTGATACAGCTCTGAATTTGGATTGTGATTAAATATTTGACACAGCATAGGTTTCTGACACAGAAAGAATGTGGTCTAAGAACTTGAATTTTTTTTAATTTACCTATTATGGTCCAATGTCCAAAATCAAAATACATGGTTAGATTCAGCATATCAAAGAACCCCATATATTCAATTTTTGTTGAAATCAAACAAAGTTTAATTTTGGACCCCAACTTGGACAAACTTGAAAACTGGGCCCATAATCAAAAATCTAAATACATGTTTAGATTCAGCATATCAAAGAACCCCATATATTCAATTTTTGTTAAAATCAAACTAAGTTTAATTTTGGACCCTTTGGACCTTAATGTAGACCAATTTAAACAAGAGTGCACACGCTGAAATGTCTCGCCTTCTTTACTAACCATTGATATTATGCTGATAGTCCTAAATGAAAGCTTTACTACAACTATTACATAAACTTAACATAATCCAAGAAAATGAAGTCAAGGTCATATTAACCAAAAGAGAAATACATGTACACCTTACAATCATTCAATACACTAAATATAGTTGACATATTGCTTATAGTTTCTAAGAAACAGACTTAACCAAGAAAACTAAACATTGACCAATGAATCGTGAAAATGAGGTCAAGGTCAGATGAACCATGCCAGGCAGACATGAACAGCTTACAATCCTTCCATACAACAAATATAGCTGACCTATTGCTTATAGTTTAAGAAAAACAGACTGAAACACATAAACTTAACACTGAGCAATGAACCGTGAAAATGAGGTCAAGGTCAAATAAAACCTGTGAGACTGACATATACATCATAGAATATTTCCATACACCAAATATAGTTGACTTATTGCATATAGTATAAGAAAAAAGACCAAAACTCAAAAACTTAACTTTGACTACTGAACCATGAAAATGAGGTCAAAGTCAGATGACACCTGCCAGTTGGACATGTACACCTTACAATCATTCCATACACCAAATATAGTAGACCTATTGCATAAAGTATAAGAAAAACGGACCAAAACACAAAAACTTAACTATAACCACTGAACCATGAAAATGAGGTCAAGGTCAGATGACACCTGCCAGCTAGACATGTACACCTTACAATCATTCCATACACCAAATATAGTAGACCTATTGCATAAAGTATAAGAAAAACAGACCAAAACACAAAAACCTAACTATAACCACTGAACCATGAAAATGAGGTCAAGGTCAGATGACACCTGCCAGTTGGACATGTACACCTTACAGTCCTTCCATACACCGAATATACTAGACCTATTGCTTATAGTATCTGAGATATGGACTTGACCACCAAAACTTAACCTTGTTCACTGATCCATGAAATGAGGTCGATGTCAAGTGAAAACTGTCTGACAGGCATGAGGACCTTGCAAGGTAGGCACATACCAAATATTGTTATCATATTACTTATAATAAGAGAGAATTTAACATTACAAAAAATCTTAACTTTTTTTTCAAGTAGTCACTGAACCATGAAAATGAGGTCAAGGACATTGGACATGTGACTGACGGAAACTTCGTTACATGAGGCATCCATATACAAAGTATGAAGCATCCAGGTCTTCCACCTTCTAAAATATAAAGCTTTTAATAAGTTAGCTAACGCCGCCGCCGGATCACTATCCCTATGTCGAGCTTTCTGCGACAAAAGTCGCAGGTTGACAAAAACGGGACCCAAAATTAAAAATCTAAAAACACGGTTAGATTTGGTATATCAAAGAACCCCAATAATTCAATTTTTGATGAAATCAAACGAAGTTTAATTTTGGACCCTTTTGACCTCAATATGAACCAATTTGATAGCGGGGTCCACAAATAAAAAATCTAAATACATGGTTAGATTCAGCATATCAAAGAACCCCATATATTCAATTTTTGTTGAAATCAAACAAAGTTTAATTTTGGACCCCAATTGTGACCAACTTGAAAACTGGGCCAAAAATCAAAAATCTAAATACATGTTTAGATTCAGCATATCAAAGAACCCATATATTCAATTTTTGTTAAAATCAAACATAGTTTAATTTGGACCCTTTGGACCTTAATGTAGAACAATTTGAAAACTGGACCCAAAATTAAAAATCTAAATACATGGTTAGATTCGGCATAACAAATAAATAAATTTGGTCAAAGATTTTACAAATCTAATGCGCCATACTGTGCAATTAAAGATTACTTCTTGAAATTTTTCAATATTTGAAATTTGAAAAAAAATAATATTTGAAGAATAATTCTTTTTAATTTCTGAAATCTGAAATGAGAAAAAATTGACCCCCCACAATTTCTTTTTACCCCCACCCCACCCCCCTTTTTTCCCCCAAAAAATTCTTTCCCTCAAGATATGGTCATAATCTCAATTCAAATTTCCAATGGAGTTTGCAACCATAATTACCCATTTAAATTTAGCATAGTGCTAACTTAATCTATTTTATAATAGAATTTAAAATATAGTGTCAAATCTTTCATATGGATTTTTTTGTAAAAAAAAAAGATGCAACATTTGCAGATATTTTTACTGGTCTTCCTTTATAAATATGCATTTCTTTAAACATAATTTAAAAGCAGTGTAAGGGAAGTAACCAAAATGTTGTATTTGGATTACCTCCCTTACACTGTTTTAAATTATCTTAATTGTTCATTAACCATTACTTTATACATAATTTAAAAGCAGTGTAAGGGAGATAATTTCAATGATGTATTTGATTTATCTCCCTTACACTGCTTTAAATTATGTTTTGTACTAAAGTATTTGTCCATTAACCAGGACAACCTTGTTTTTCCCCCTTTTTTGCCCCTAATTCCTAAACGGTTTGAGCCATAACCCCCCAAAGCAAATCCTAACCATCCCTTTGTGGTATGGAAACTTGTAGTATAATTTCAGAGAGATCCATACACCGTTCCACAGTTATTGTCTGGAAACTAGAAAATGCTTATTTTTGGCCTCTTATTCCTTAACTGTTGGTACCATAACCCCCAAAATCAATCCCCACCTTCCTTTTGTGGTATTGAACCATATGGTAAAATTTCAAAGAGATCCATTCACTTAAACTAAAGTTAGAGTGCGAAAACCAATGTGTCTTCGGACGATGACAACGACGCCAACGTCATACCAATATACGATCGCAAAATTTTTTTGCGGTCGTATAAAAACGGGACCCAAAATTAAAAATCTAAATACACAGTTAGATTTGGCATATCAAAGAACCCCAATAATTCAATTTTTGATGAAATAAAACAAAGTTTAATTTTGGACCCTTCTGAGCTCAATATGAACCAATTTGATAGCGAGGCCCACAAATAAAAAATCTAAATACATGGTTAGATTCAGCATATCAAAGAACCCCATATATTCAATTTTTGTTGAAATCAAACAAAGTTTAATTTTGGACCCCAATTTGGACCAACTTGAAAACTGGGCCCGAAATCAAAAATCTAAATACATGTTTATATTCAGCATATCAAAGAACTCTATATATTCAATTTTTGTTAAAATCAAACTAAGTTTAATTTTGGACCCTTTGGACCTTAATGTAGACCAATTTGAAAACTGGACCCAAAATTAAAAATCTAAATACATGGTCAGAGATTTTACAAATCATACTGTGCAATTAAAGATTACTTCTTGAAATTTTTCAATATTTGAAATTTGAAAAAAAAAAAAATATTTGAAGAATAATTCTTTTTAATTTCTGAAATCTGAAATGAGAAAAAATTGACCCACATAATTTAAAATCAGTGTAAGGGAGGTAATTCAAATGATGTATTTGATTTATCTCCCTTACACTGCTTTAAATTATGTTTTGTACTAAAGTATTTGTCCATATAAAAATGCTTGTTTTTTGCCCCTTTTTTGGCCCCTAATTTCTAAAATTTTGAGGCAATTACCCCCAAAATCAATCCAAGCATTCCCTTTGTGATATGGAACCTTGTGGTACAATGTCAGAGAGATCCATACACTAACACACAAGTTATGTCTGGAAGTTACAAAAATGCTAATTTTGGCCCCTCATTCCTTCACTGTTGGTACCATAACCCCCAAAATCAATCCCCACCTTCCTTTTGTGGTATTAAACCTTATGGTAAAATTTCATAGAGATCCATTCACTTAAACTAAAGTTAGAGTAGGAAAACCAATGTGTCGACGACGATGACGACGACGCCAACGTCATACCAATATACGGTCGTATAAAAATTGAATCATAATTTCCTGTCAATATGCACATCTACATAGTATGTCCTTATTATCTACACAGTTTAATGAAATTCTGTTGTGTGGTTTGAGAGGAGTTGCAATGACAAAAGGTTGCAGTAGTATATTGGGCAAATAAGTTCAAAGGGGCGTAACTCCTGGAAAAAAAATTGAATCGTAATTTCCTGTCGATATGCACATCTACAGAGTATGTCCTTATTATCTGAAAAGGTATCATGAAATTCTGTTGTGTGGTTTGAGAGGAGTTGCGATGACAAAAGGTTGCAGTAGTATATTGGGCAAATAAGTTCAAAGGGGCGTAACTCCTGGAAAAAAAATTGAATCTTAATTTCCTGTCGATATGCACATCTACGTTGTATGTCCTTATTATCTGAAAAGGTTTCATGAAATTCTGTTGTGTGGTTTGAGAGGAGTTGCGATGACAAAAGGTTGCAGTAGTACATTAAAGTAAATAAGTTCAAAGGGGCCGAACTCCTAGAAAAAAAATTGAATCATAATTTCCTGTCGATATGCACAACTACATAGTATGTCCTTATTATCTAAAAAGGTTTCGTGAAATTCTGTTGTGTGGTTTGAGAGGAGTTGCGATGACAAGAAATAGGACTGACGGACGGACAGACGGAAGGACAGACAGAAGGACGGATAGACAGGTCAAAAACATTATACCCTCCGCAACTCTTTGCGTTGGGTATAAAAAAATAAAAGAAGGTTATGTCAATAGATATAAACAATTCATTAAAGTTTCATGAAAACTGCTCATAGCATTTTTGAGTTATTATCTGAAAACTGGAAAATCACCCTTTTTTAATGAATAAAACTCCACAACTCGAAAACTTAAAATCTAATATCCATAAAAATCGAAAGGGAGCTCAAATCAATAGATATAAACAATTTACCAAAGTTTCTTGCAAATTGGTGAAAGTGTTTTTCAGTTATTGTCCGAAAACAGGAAAATCACCCTTTTTTAATAAATAAAACCCCATAACTCGGAAACGTATAATCTAAAATCTATAAAAATCAAAAGACAGCTCACATCAATAGATATAAACAATTCACCAAAGTTTCATGCAAATTGGTTAAAGCGTTTTTGAGTTATTGTTCGACATGTTGACGATGGACGGACAGACGGACAGACAAAGGTATACCATAATATGTCCTGTAAACGGGCGTATAAAAACAAAGATTTATTTGAGACTATCTTGAAACAACTTAAGAGTTTAATAGTACATTGTGTAGAACTTGTTTATTGGATTTTCTGATCATCAGGTAATGATCTCTGATGAAGGATGTACAAAAATGCATGAGAAACCAACATTTTATACAGTTTTTCCCCTCTAAATTCATGTAACTACAAAACATAGGATATCTAACACAGCTGAAAAAAGGTTCAGTTTTATGAGATTGGTATGATGTCCTGTAGACCTTGATGAGGGACCAGTGAAGACTCTAAGCAACGGCATAAAGGCAGAAACTTCCTTAAAAATATTGGATTTTGCTGAACTAGTATACATTATTGTTTAGGGGACAGCTGAAGCCACCTCCGGGTGCTGGATTTTCTCACTGTGGCCTTGGTTTGGTTTCTGCTCTTTGGTCAGGATTGTTCTCTTTGACCCATTCCCTGTATCTATTCTCTATTCTATCAAAATTCTAAGTACTACATGGAAACACAAAATTTCTTTCAACTGCTTAACAAATGGTACACTTGACCTATGACACTAACCTGTGACATGGTATCTACTGACAGGGGAGGTAACTCTGATGCCATGTCTATATCAGGAGGAGGACCTGATTCCACAATCATCTTTATGTTAATGCTGAACGAATCTCCATTTCTGTTGCTAGGTTTCTTCAATTAATCTGATCTGAAAATAAACAATGTACATTATATACATGATGGTAGTTCATATCTACACAATATATAAGTTTTAAACCCCAGCAGAACAATTTATGAGTTTTTAACCCCTGCAGAACAAAAATTAAAATATTTTATCCCCTGATGGTCTCAAAAGCCATTGCCCATATAGATGTAGGACTTCTAATTTCAAATAGAAATGTTTACATTGAAAAATATGAAAAACATTATGAAAGCCTGAGATGTGTTGTTGGGTTACTGTCTCCTTGACATTATCGGGATATGTAATCCCTACATCTGCTTTTATTTTGTAATCACACATACATGACATATAACAGTACATTTGTACTTTGAAAAGGACAATAATTTAACCTTTAATTCTTGTACTTTTATTTACTATTAAAGACCAAAATGTATCTGAATAGAAAAAATAAATGTAAAATTGAAATGTGAATTGATAAAAACTCTAAAAATGATCAACTGATTATTCTATCAACAGTTCAGCAATAGTCATGGTAAAAATTTACCAAAAGACCATAAAAAGATATAACCATCTAGAAGTAAATGTTATTACTTGTGCATAAACAATAAAAATAAAATGCTCCGCTGGGGCGCAGCTTGATACGACCGCAGAGGTCGAACCCTGAACAGTTGGGGCAAGTATGGACACAACATTCAAGCTTGATACAGCACTGAATTTGGATTGTAATTAAATATTTGACACAGCATAGGTTTCTGACACAGAATGAATGTGGTCTAAGAACTTTTTTAAATTTTTGAATTTACCTTAGTCTTAATTCAAACCATATCATTATTATTTGCTTTTATAATATATATAAACCAGAAATAACCAATTTAAAATGGAAAAAAAAATCCCCCCTCCAAATTTTTTGAACCCCTTATGATTCATCACCCCCAAACTCAATCCCAGCCTTCCCTTTGTGGTATGGTACCTTGCAGTACAATTTCAGAGAGATCCATACACTTGAACACAAGTTATTGTCTGGAAACTAGAAAAATGCTGGTTTTTTGGCCCCTTTTTGGCCCCAAATTCCTAAACGTTTAGGGCAATTACCCCCAAACTCAAACCCAGCTTTCCCTTTGTGATATGGAACCTTGTAGTACAATTTCATAAAGATCCATACACTTACACACAAGTTATTGTCCTGAAACTAGAAAAATGCTTGTTTTTTGCCCCTTTATGGCCCCTAATTCCTAAAATTTGAGGCAATTACCCCCAAAATCAATCCCAGCCTTCCCTTTGTGATATGGAACCTTGCAGTACAATTTCAGAGAGATCCATACACTTGAACACAAGTTATTGTCTGGAAACTAGAAAATGCTTATTTTTGGCCCCTTATTCCTAAACGTTTTGGGCAATTACCCCCAAACTCAATTCCAGCTTTCCCTTCGTGATATGGAACCTTGTAGTACAATTTCATAAAGATCAATACACTTACACACAAGTTATTGTCATGAGTTTTTTGCCCCTTTTTGGCCCCTAATTCCTAAAATTTGGAGGCAATTACCCCCAAAATCAATCCCAGCATTCCCTTTGTGATATGGAACCTTGTGGTACTATGTCAGAGAGATCTATACACTTACACACAAGTTATTATCATGAAACTAGAAAAATGCTTGTTTTTTGCCCTTTTTTGGCCCCTAATTCCTAAAATTTGGAGGCAATTACCCCCAATATCAATCCCAGCATTCCCTTTGTGATATGGAACCTTGTGGTACAATGTCAGAGAGATCCATACACTTACACACAAGTTATTGTCATGAAACTAGAAAAATGCTTGTTTTTTGCCCCTTTTTGGCCCTTAATTCCTAAAATTTGGAGGCAATTACCCCCAAAATCAATCCCAGCGTTCCCTTTGTGATATGGAACCTTGTGGTACAATGTCAGAGAGATCCATACACTAACACACAAGATATGTCTGGAAGTTACAATAAACAGCTGCGCCATGAGCGCATGATACGCCCGTCGTCTTGTGTGTGAATTTTTATGCAATAAGCATAAATAGTTTCTGACATACGGGGTGACATGCGAAAACCCCCTTTTTTTTTTACAAAATACTAAATATCTCCAAAATAAAATTTTGAATCAAAACCAAAAAGTATACAGATCTTTAGATTAATATAACTAAGAAGTGTGTAAAATTTTAAGCAATAATCATAAATCGATTTTTGAGATACGGCGCGACATTTGAAAACCCCCCTTTTAAAAAAAAAAAATCAATATCTCAAAAATAAAATTTTGAATCAAAACCAAAAAGTATACAGATCTTTAGATTAATATAACTAAGAAGTGTGTAAAATTTTAAGCAATAATCATAAATCGTTTTTGAGATACGGCGCGACACGTGAAAAACCCCTCCCCCTTTTTTACAAAATACTCAATAACTCAAAAATAAAATTTTTAATCATCACCAAAAAGTATACAGATCTTAAGGTTAATATAACGAAAAAGTGTGTAAAGTTTTAAGCAATAATCATAAACTGTTTTTGAGATACGACGCGACATGTGAAAAACCCCTCCCCCTTTTTTAACAAAATACTCAATATCTCTAAAATAAAATTTTGAATCATCACCAAAAAGTATACAGATCTTAAGATTAATATAACTAAGAAGTGTGTAAAGTTTTCAGCAATAATCATAAATTGTTTTTGAGATACGGCGCGACATGTGAAAAAAACACACACCTGTTTTAGTTACTAAGTCCCGTAACTCAAAAAGTTTTAATCTTATTTTCACCAAAAAGTATACAGATCGTTTGACCATCATAAGAAACAACTATGTTAAGTTTCATGAAATTTGGATAAGTCATTCTCAAGTTACGGTGCGACATGTTTACGCCGGACAGACAGACGGACAGACATTTGTATACCATAATACGTCCCGTCAAAAATTTGACGGGCGTATAAAAATGCTTATTGTTGGCCCCTTTTTGGCACCTAATTCCTTAACTGTTGGTACCATAACCTCCAAAATCAATCCCCACCTTACTTTTGTTGTATTGAACCTTATGGTAAAATTTCATAGAGATCCTTTCACTTAAACTAAAGTTAGAGTGCGAAAACCAATATGTCTTTGGACGACGACGATGCCAATGTCATACCAATATACGACCGAAAAAAATTTTTGCGGTCGTATAAAAAAACAATTCCCTATACACGTAAATGGAGATGTTACAAGTTTAAATTGAATTTTACAAACATTTGGCATAGGTCTGTTGTCAAATTCAAAGGACAGGTAAAGAATGGTTGTTGATTGAGATACCTGCCTCTATTTGGGAAAATTTCAGTTTATTTTTTGCTATACAGAATTCTAAATTTAGCCCCATAAGAACTTCATGTATATACCTCTCCTGATATCCAGGCCTAACAAAAAATTCTAATTGCCTAACTCTATCTGTAAGTAGTCATTATACACTAATGACCATTAGTCAGCATGGTCATAATTATAAATACATGTTAATCTTGTTACAAACGAAATGAAGACTTGCAATATTAGCAGTGATGGCTCCAAATTTTATATGATTCACGCATAGATTAGTCATAAACAATATTTATACTGTTAAAACATTTTCAGTTGTCCTTTGTTTTTGAACTTAAAGTGCTGTAATTGTCTAAAGTTATAAAAAATTAAGACAGTAACATCTTTTTTCACATGTCAAAAAAGGGCATACTCTAATTACTACTAGTAGTAATCACATACTCATGGATCATGTTGATTTGCTATATTGGTTTGTTGAAAAACTCATCATATAATATTTCAGGCCAAAATTAAAAACTTGTTTGTAACAACCAAGTCCAACAAATCCTATTAAAACCACTCAAATTCACAAGTTTTTATTGGACAATTTGAGTTTTTGACACCTCAACCACTTAATTTCCACCTTTGGCTACCACTTGATTTGAATAAAAATTAATTACAAGATCATCATAATTGTGTTGGATAAAACTGCCCCAAAACAAAATAATAAATGATGTAAATTGTTGTCCAGAAGATTTCTAAATGATAAATCCATTCCAACTTTGAATTTTATTACTTTACGAGATTACCAGAAACTTATAAATCCACTACATTTTTTAACATACAAAAATTGTGTATTATTAGCCTAAAGTCTGCTGTGTAAATATGGTAACTGCCTTCAGAAAATTAGACAACTAATTTAGAAATAAATGGAGAATGTGTCCATGGGACACAGATAATGCCCCTGCTCGCATACTTTATAAAGGGACAAAACTAGAGAACTATAAAAGTAATGCTACCCAAATTCGAACTTGATCTGTGTTTTATGGTAATAAGCATTGTGTATAAGTTTCATAACATTTGGTTGAGGCAAACTAAAGTTAGAGAACGGAAAGGAAAAATTCAGCAAATTTTCCATTTATAAAGGGCATAACTCAGGAACAGTTAAAGTGACGCCACCCAAATTTGAACTTGATCTGTGTTTTGTGGTAATAAGCTATGTGTATAAGTTTCAAAACATTTGGTCAAGGGAAACTTAAGATAGATAACAGAAACCAATTTCGGGACATACGGACGTACAGACAAGGATAAACCTTAATGCCCCCTCCGCTACGGCAGGGGCAAAAAAAAACACATGAGAGAATGAAAAAAGATAAATGGGAAATGTGTCCGTGGGACACAGATGATGCCCCCACTTACATGTACATATAACGTTATAAAGGGACATAACTCAAGAACGGTAAAAGTGATGCTAACCAAATTCGTACTTGATCTGAGTTTTGTGGTAATAAGCATTGTGCATAAGTTTCATAACATTTGGTTAAGGCAAACTTAAGTTAAAGAATGGAAACGAAAAATTCTGCAATTCTTCCATTTGTAAAGGGGCATAACTCTAGAAAGGTAAAAGTGATGCCCACCAAATTCAAACTTGATCTGTGTTTTTTGGTAATAAGCATTGTGTATAAGTTTCATAACATTTGGTTGAGGCAAACTAAAGTGAGAGAACAGAAACCAATTTCGGGATGTACGGA